TCTTGTCCCCTGACCTTCCCACGAAAGATCAGATGCATTGCGGAAGGTGACTGAGTTAGGTTAGGTTAGGTTTGGTTAGGTTAGACGGGCTTGTCCTAATGGGCCCCTCCCCTAATAGATCTGGGGCCTAATAGATCTGGGGCCTAATATATTTTGGGCCTAATAGATTTGGGGGCTTAATGGATCTGGGGCCTAATAGATGAGGCACCTAATAGATCTGGGGCCCATGTAAACTGCACCCACGAGACATATCCAATGACGCTGCTGACTGGAAGTGACGAGTCAAGTTTTGTGTTGAAACAGGTGACATGTCTGTTGTGTGTGTCTGTTGTGTGTGTGTGTGTGTGTGTGACCCTTCCAACTATATACATCTTGCAAACTGGGTCGATTTATATAACTAATTAATATAAATGTGTATATTTATGACGTCTCAAACCTATAAAACTATATCATCTAAACTCGATAGATTTTTATAACCATTTTATATACACCATTTAAACTGGGTCGATTTTTATAACCATATACAATTGAACTGGATCGATTTATATAGGTAATGTATATATATATATCAATGTATATTAATAATAACTGTGGTATTTATTTTACAACTTTACGCCAGTGTCCGTATGAATGTCACGGCTCTTAGCACCATGGTCAGTCGCCTCAAAAGGTTAAATAACTTGAGTTTTCTTGTAGGTAGTGGTGTAAGGTCAATCGAGAGTACACCTAGGCGAGGGGTTGTGGGGGTTTTCACTTATGTAACACCTGGGCGGGGGCAGGGGGTTGTGGGAACTGCTGTAATACCTGGGCGGGGGGCAGGGGTTGTGGGGACTATATATAATACCTGGGCGGGGGTTTGGGAGGTGTGGGGGAGTGATTCTTCTGTAATACCTGGGCGGGGGTTGTGAGAGGGAGGAGGGGGAGGGTGTGTGAGAGGGAGGAGGGAGGGGTTATTGAGGGAGGGGGAGTGGGGGTTGTGAGAGGGAGGAGGGGGAGTGGGGGTTGTGAGAGGGAGGAGGGGGAGTGGGGGTTGTGAGAGGGAGGAGGGGGAGGGGTGGGTTGTGAGTTGTGAGGGAGTGTGGTTCTTCCTCACAACACACATGGGATGAGTGTTGTGAGCTGGTATGTATTTATGAGTTGTGAGATTGTGTTCCAACCTCACAACACACACCTGGCCACCTGACAACACACCTGGCCACCTGACAACACACCTGGCCAGCTGACAACACACCTGACCAGCTAACAACACACCTGGCCAGCTGACAACACACCTGGCCAGCTGACAACACACCTGGCCAGCTGACAACACACCTGGCCAGCTGACAACACACCTGACCAGCTAACAACACACCTGGCCAGCTGACAACACACCTGGCCAGCTGACAACACACCTGGCCAGCTGACAACACACCTGGCCAGCTGACAACACTATATTTTATGGAGTCAGTGAGTCTGCTGAGCATCGCCTTGACATTATCCCGCCTCCATCTTTTATTTTACTTTCTAACGTCCTTTATTGTTGTGGTGGTGTGGTGGTAGGGGTGGTGATGGGGTGAGTGGTGGTGTGAGAATATGGGGAGCCAGTGGTGAGGTGGGAGAAGTGTGAGTGGTGGTAGGGGTGTAGTGGTGGTGGGAGAAGGTGGTAGTGGTGGTAGGGTGGTGGTGGTGGTAGGAGTGGGGGGTGGTGGTAGGGTGGGGGTGGGTGGTGATGGGGGTGGTGGTGATAGTAGTTATCAAAGGTTCGATGTATATCTGTCACTCTTGAAGTTGATATGATGGGGTGAGAGGGTGAGGACGGAGGGTGAGGGAAGGAAAGGAAGGAGGGGTGGGAGGGGAAGGTGGAAGGAGGGGTAGGGGAGACAGGAAGGAGGAGGGTGAGGAGGGAAGGGAAAGGTAGTGTGGGGTCAAAGGGGTGGAGGGGTGAGGGGGGTAGGAAGGTAGAGGTAGCGAAGGAGTAGAAGAAGGGAGGAGGGAGGAATGGAGGGGTGAGGGAGGGAAGGAGGGGGAGGAATGGAGGGGTGAGGGAGGGAAGGAGGGAGGAATGGAGGGTGGGGAGGGATGAGGAGGAATGGAGGGTGAGGAGGGAAAGGAGGGAGAATGGAGGGTGAGGGAGGGAAGGAGGGAGGAATGGAGGGATGAGGGACGGAAGGAGGGAATGTTTTGGTTATCTATTGACAAAACTGACGTAGCACAGGCATTCTCTCTCTCTCTCTCTCTCTCTCTCTCTCTCTCTCTGCATATGAAGGATAGGGAGGGCGTGTGTGAGAGGCAGGGAGAGAGGGAGAGGAAGGGTGAGAGGGAGAGGGAGGGTGAGAGGGAGAGGAGGGAGGGTGAGAGGTAGGGAGAGTTAAGTTTGTGTAGGTCCCTGACATTTCACCACCAGCCTTGGATTTTCCTAGACACTTCCTCCTCCTCCTTCTCTTCCTCCTCCTTCTCCTCCTTCCCTTCCTTTCTCCCTTCTTCTCTTCCTCTTCATCACCTTATATCCTTTTCTGTCTCTTCTTCCTCTTTTCTCTTCTCTCTATTCTCCCTCTTCTCCCTCTTCTCCCTCTCCTTCTCTACTCTTCTCCTCCATCTCCCTTCTCTTCTCCCTTTACTTCTCCTCCCCAATTCCTCCTACACCTTTACGTTGTTCTACTTATTCCTATCATTTCTCCCTCCCACACTCACTTTCCCTTTCCGCCCTCCCCTCTCTCCCTCCTCCCTCTCCCTCTCCCCTTCACTCTCTCTCTTTCTCTCTCTCTCTCTCTCCTCCTCTCTCTCTCTCTCTCTCTCTCTCTCTCTCTCTCTCATCCCTACCCTCCCCTCAATCTACAACTCCTACTCTTCCCTTAACTCCCCTTCCTTTTCCCCTCCCCCCCTCTACCCCCACTTCCCCCCCCGTCAGCCCACAGGTGGCGGTGAGTGGCCAGGTGTGTCAGTGTATTGTTGAGTGCGTTGCTGGTGTGTGTGTGCGTGTGTCTCGCTCTCACTCACTCACTCAGTGCCTCTATTAGTGCCGCCCCTCCACACACACATTTGGGGGTAAACAGTGCCACTTATATAGACAGTGCCACGTATATAGACAGTGCCACGTATATAGACAGTGCCACGTATATATACAGTGCCATTTAAAGGTATTAGCGACAGTACCAATATCTTTAGTGTTGTAAGAATTTTTTTGTACTGTAAATTCTTGAGATAATGACGTAGTGCCTGCGACAGTGCCCCTAAACGACAGTGCCGATGTTTTGACACAGTTGATGCCTGTGACAGTACATAATTATGGGACAGTGTCAGTGTTCTCAGTACTTTATACGTTCAAGACAGTGCCCAAGGCTTTGATGGCTGAAAAATCATTGTGACAGTGTCCATTTTAGTGCCTACGACAGTGCTCCTAGTAGAAGTTTCCTTAGGACACTGTCTCTGTCAGTATTGAAGAAAGTGCCTCCATCAGTATGCTAGACAGTGCCTAAGTCAGTGTACCCGTTGTTAATGTCCCACATCAGTGCCTCTCTCCGACAGTGCCATTGATATTATATTCCGTGGACAGTATCTCCTCCAGTACTTCCATCACTAACTCCGGCAGTACCTCATACAGTGGGAAAGTACTGTATATCTACCACTACTTCCCCAGCCTCTTGCAATCCGACAGTGCCTCATAGTGGGGAAAGTATACCTATCACTACTTTCCCCCAGCTTCTTGCTATCCGACAGTGCCTCAGACAGTAGGAAGTACCTACCACTACTTTCCCCCAACCTCAAGTGTTACAGGGCAGTCATCATCGTCTTTCGCAGTGTGGGAAGAATTGCACACACACACACCAGCCTCTCACCTACCCCTGATGCTTGGGAAATATTCTCCTCTCTCCTTCTATTGTCTGGGAAATACTCAATATTTCCTTCTGTCGCCCGGGAAATATCCAATACCTCCTTCTGTCGCCCGGGAAATATTCAATACTTCCTTCTATCGCCCGGGAAATAATCAACACCTCCTTCTATCGCCCGGGAAATAATCAACACCTCTTTCTATCGCCCGGGAAATGATTAATACCGCCTTCTATTGCCCGGAAAATAATTAATACCTCCTTTTGTTGCCAGGGAAATAATCTGTACTTCCTTTTGTTGCCCGGGAAATAATCAGTACCTCCTTTTATCGCCCTGGAAATAATCAATACCTCCTTTTATCGACCGGGAAGTGGGACAGTAACGCCGTAACAGCCTGAAGAGTGTAAACATTGCCTAGAGTGTTACGTTATATTGCCGTCACATCATTAGTGTAACGCAGTAAAGCTATGAATGTGTGACGTTGTTCTTGTGACGCCGTAACAGGTTGGTGTGTTACGTGTGTTGAGTATTTGAACCTGAAGTAGTGAAGAATTGAACTTTTATATCGATTATTTGAACCTGAAGTAGTAAAGAATTGAACTTTTATCGAGTATTTGAACCTGAATGAGAAAAAAAACTTGGATATCATACAAAATTGAACCTTCTACCGTCATCTCTCTGTGAACTGAGAGTCAAGAATAAAAACATCCATTCATTTCAATCCTCTCACCAAATTTATGAACCCCTAGGGAAGAATTGAACCACTAGCACGTGTGTGAACCTTCAGGTGATAGGAGAACGTGTGTGAACCTTTAATTGAATCTCCAAAAACGTCTCCTGTGTCGGTGTCAACAAACTCCCCCCCCCCCAGGTTGAACGTCTATAAGGGGTTCAATTTCACGGAGAAAGAACCTCAGGTGTTACTTCGTCAGGTTTGAAAAGGGGGGGTGACGGTGAAGGTGTGGTAGTCGGTGAGTGGTGGGTTACCTGTGTGTGTGTTTGTGTGTCAGGTGGCGCAACACAACGGGTTCCAGTGGCTGGTTTTGAGGGAGTGACAAGACTTGGCTGCTTCCCTTCTCCTCCTCCTCCTTCTTCTTCTTCTTCTTATTCTTCTTCTTCTTCTTCTTCTTCTTCTTCTTCTTCTTCTTCTTCTTCTTCTTCTTCTTCTTCTTCTTCCTTCTCTTCTTCTTCCTTCTCTTCCCTCTATCTCCTTCCTTGACTTCTTCCTCCTCTTCTTCCTACTTCGCATTCCTTGAACCAACATCTCGAGAACTAGCCCTTGAGTATCACCACGCCTTGAGTACCACCACCCCTCGAGTACGACCACCGCCTTGAGTACCATCACCCTTCGAGTACTACCACCCCTCGAGTACGACCACAATGCCTTTAAAACGAAGTAAAAGCTTAGCAGTAACGGGGTCACCTGAGAGTACCAAATTGAGTACTATCTCGACCTTGAGTCCAAACAACGATTGGACTTCCCTCGCTGTACTCACTTCCCTCCCAAGGGCTCACTTCACACGACGTAAACACCCTGAGTACCACAACAACAACAACAACGACAACAAGAAGAACAACAAGCATAACAACTATCATGAAGAATCAACAACAATCTCCAACCACAATCACGAACTACCACACTCATCATCAACAAAAACAACCAGTACCCGTAACAACAATCATCTCAACCACGAACTACCACCCCCAACAAAAACAACCAAAATCCGTAACAACCACCACAACCACCACAATCACGAACTACCACCATTAACAAAAACAATCAGTACCCGTCACCACCACCACCACCACAACCGCGAACTACCACTACCACCACCACCAACAAAAGCAACCAATACCCGTAGCTCCTCCAACCACCACAAAAACCACAACTACAACCATCGGCAGCAACAGGACTCACCACTACCCACCACCACCACCCGTTCGACCCCTGGTAGACACGCGGCGTCCTTCAGGCTGGTAAGCTAACGGCCTCCTCTGTTTATAAAACCTTCGGGTGATTGGTGAATGTCTTGTGATTGCATTGTTATTGTATTACTATTGTATTGTTATTGTGACTGTTTTATTATTGTATTGTGATTGTATTGTTATTGAATTGTTATTGTTGTTATTATTATTAGGTGTTGTGATTATTCAATGGTTATTTATTTGTGTTGTTTCTTTGTTATTGTTGTTGTTGTTATTGCATCTTTAATATATTGTTTGTTTTTATTTGTTTTTTTTTATTTATTACGTTTTTGTTATTTTTTGTTTTATTCTCATGTTTTCAAATTTTTCTTCTGTTATTTTTGATTCGTATTTTTTCTTATATTATTATGAGGTTCTGCCTTGTCATCCTCTCTCTCTCTCTCTCTCTCTCTCTCTCTCTCTCTCTCTCTCTCTCTCTCTCTCTCTTTAATTTAATTTCAACAGGTTTTTGCACGTCATCCACCTCTCTCTCTCTCTCTCTCTCTCTCTCTTTAATTTAATTTCAACAGGTTTTTTGCACGTCATCCTCTCTCTCTCTCTCTCTCTCTCTCTCTCTCTCTCTCTCTCTCTCTCTAATTTAGTCTCAACAGGTTTTTGCTCGTCACCCACCTCTCTCTCTCTCTCTCTCTCTCTCTCTCTCTCTCTCTCTCTCTCTCTCTCTCTCTCTCTCTATAATTTAGTCTCAACAGGTTTTGCTACGTCACCCAGTCTCTGTTTGCCTTCAGTAACTCTCAATAGTCTTCTTTTTGTATTCCTCTCTTTCTTCTTCTTCTCTTTTTCTCCTCTTAGTCCTCTCTTCTCTTCTTCTCTCTCTCTCTCTCTCTCTCTCTCTCTCTCTCTCTCTCTTTCTCTCTCTCTCTTGAAGAAGTCAGTACCACAAGTGCCCCTATCACTTGTTATTACTCAGATCAAAACATTACGTAACAGTGCCATTAAGACCTCGTATTAGAGGTAGATTCGGCATTGACCTCCCGACCTTACATATGAGTGCCATATAGAGCCAATAATGCCTACTAAATGCCCTCGAATGCCATTGTTATCCGTGGCTATTGAGATAAAGGGCATTACGTAAAGGTGCCAATAAAGTTCATTTCAAACGTACACACAAGGCCGGGGTTCGACTCGCTAATTAAGGTGGGATCGGTTTTTTGAGATAACGGTTCGAATCTTTTAAATTGGGTTCGAATCACTTAAGTTGGGTTCGAATCACTTAAGATGGGTTCGAATCATTTAAAACGGGTTCGAATCACTTAAAACGGGTTCGAATCACTTAAGATGGGTTCGAATCTTTTAAAACGGGTTCGAATCTTTTAGACAGGCACTATACTCTGCCTTCCCTGGCGATGTAGTTTGGGCACGGGCGTTGGTTTATGGTAGTGAGTGGTGGTAGAGGATGGTGATAGTGGGAATGGTGGTAATAGGAGCTGGTATGTGGTAATAGTTGATGGTGGTAGATTGTGTTAGTAAATGATGCAAGTAGATACTGGTAGGTGAAATTAAAAGTGGTTTCTGATAGTGGTAGTTGTTGTCAGTGGGTGGTTGTAGTAGATAGCGAGGGAGGGAGGGAGTCAGGGAGGTAGAGAGTGAGGGAGGGAGGGAGTCAGGGAGGTAGAGGTAGGAGGGAGTCAGGGAGGGAGGGAGGTCAGGAGGGAGTGAGGTGAGGAGGGAGGGAGTCAGAGTCAGGGAGGTAGAGGTGAGGAGGAGGTC